AGAAAAGAGATCGATTGAGTGGCTAGAAAGAGATACGGTCAAATTGCTCATTAGCGTCGATACGAATAAAGTATGGCCATTAGCAAATAAATATACGGGCAAAAAGGAAATTATTAATAATATTAGCCGATTAAAAGTATATTTTTGGACAAACTGAAAAGCCAACTCGACGCTTACACGAGTCGATTGGTAAAGCGAGCGAGGTAGCCAAGTACGTAAAGCGTCTGGTGGCCATCTGCCGAAGACCGTTACCGTAGGAATCAAAATAAGATCCAAAGTAATCAAAATACAAATAAAAAATAATCAAAACCCACAAAACAACAAAGAACAATTAACCAAAACAAAATACAAAAAAAAAAAAAAAACAAAAAAAAAAAACGAAAAACAAACAAAAAATAAGCGGCAAATTAAAAAAACAAAACGAAAATAATAATAATTATGAGATTAACGTCGGAGAAAGTAGCTAGCTGCGGCGACAGAGCGCCGATACGTCTGAGCTCATCGCCGCGACGACGTGTCACCGTAGCAGGAAATCATATTCATCGGGTTGTTCGATTCTGCGTCGATGTGTCAACGCACACACGGGGGCATCTTTCGTGATACGTGTGCTACCTATGGGCTGGCACACAGGCGCGACCGAGCGGCGCTTTTTTTCCGCTTATCCATTTTTCCGCAATGAGTCAGGAGAGATAAAGCGCGTATACGCGGCTGCGCGCGCGGCTCGAGCACCGACACGATACGTCCAGCGTCTGAAAAATATCCGGCTAGCATATGACCGATCGGGTTCGAAAGAAACGCCCGAACAAATCGAAGTCCCTCATCGATGCCTTATGATACCTTTATGGATGCACGGCCGCCGCAGGGGAGTGTCCGCATAAGGCGGGGCGGCGCCGGGGTCGCGGTCGAAGTACAGCGCCAGTTATAATAAGAAGGCGTTGTCCACGCAATCTCGCGACTGCGATAAGGAGTTTGTGGGGAGGGGGTTCGCGACCGCGACATTCGGCTTTGGGGCGGGGGAGGGGTGGGGGGTAGTCGAGTAGCGCGGCGCGGAGGAATCTCCGAAGACGGACTATCGATTTCCCGTCACCTCTTTGCGTTTACGACATCTCACGGAGGCCCGAAACTATCAGGGACGTATCAAAGCCGCGAGTCCGCAAGTCCCCGCGGAGGGCGCACCTCGATCCGCCGCCAGCACGTTGCTGCTTCCTGAATAGTCGATTAAAAAAGGCGAGTCGATGGCGGCAACAGGCGAGCAGGATGAGCGCCGCTAAGCTCGACGAGCTCGGTAACGCGGTCCTATTAGCCTGGTAATCGAGCCAAACACTTTTACAGATCACAATGGAATTTTTCTAAAATTTCACGACGCGTTTTCGCCGCCTTCTGGGGCCCTGGTAAGTGAGGAGACTGGGGGAGTCCCTAGGGATAAGTCTGCATCAGCCGTTGCGGAGCTTCTATGGGGAGAAGCTGTGCTCCTTCCTAGTCAATGCTCTTGGCGATGCCTCCCGCGTGTAATTCGGCCGTGCGAGGCCCGCGCCTCCTGGTCTCCTAGACGCGAAATAGTTGATCGGAATTACTATGATCCGGGGGCGAAACTAGTCCGTCGCGGCTCAATCGGCTGTCAATGGCCCGTCAATCGAGAATCCAGGCGCGCGACCAGTTTTTTACCAGGCGAGCAGATGGAGCAGCTGGCGCCCAGTGGCCGTGAGCGGAGGCCGAGCAATCGTCGAGGCGAAGACCACGTGATGTCGCGTCCTTGCAGGATCAGGCTGCCAGTCCTGCGAGCAATTGGCCCTAGCGAGCGTGTTGCTTTGGCTCCCGAAATTGCGGGAAGCGCCCATTAATTCTAACCCTTGGCGCATCTCCCATTTCTTTGTCGACTGCTGGTTACGTCCGTTGCTATTGCCGCGCGACCATCACCCGGACATCGGAGATAGATATCTCCGAGCCAAGCAGCTGACTCGGGAATATTGTTGATGTTACGAGTAGCGGTCCTCCTTCCATCCAATATCTGGGGACGAACTCCAGCTGATTTATATTCATACTCAAAGCGAATTTGGTCGAGAAAACAGCAAAACGGCCGTGTGTCGATGCATGTAGTCTGATCCAGCTATCGGCAATATCGTCAATTACATTAATCAACCTCGTTTCTTCGACCCAGATCGCGCGACTTTTTCTCTCATTACGGACGACTTTAGAGTTTGATTTTTAACAAATATTGATTAAAACGAGACATCCATCTTCAAGACAATTTTTATTTTTCATTTTCTGCTGCTACTACTATTACTACACTACTGCTACTGCTACTACCACTAAGACAGCATACAATTGCTAGGTAAAATTGCACCAATTATTTTTTAATTTTTATAATGAACTAATTATTAATTTATAAATGAGTAAATAAAGAAAATTTGAATAAAATAGTCATCTACAAATGAATTTTGTATTTAATGATGTGAATGAGGATGCTATTCATTTTATTCAAGTCTAGCAAATGTCACAATCACGACAACGAAAATATATGCATACGTATATATCTGATTCGCTCTCTCTCTCTCTCTCGCCCCTCTCTCAGTATAAATTTTTCATTTAATTGAATGCACAAACTTCCTTTAATATATATATATATATATAATATCAAATAAATAATACGTTCAAATTTTCATCTTTATGCATTTACAGGCTGTTGCTTTTCAACAAAATAGTATCGACAAACACGTTCCATAATCATTCTGCTTTGCAAAAAGGCGCGCATACTTGCACAGGCAAAAATTCAAATTTTGCACTAAAATACCTTCCGAGCTATAAAATCGAATAATCGCGTGGAGCATCGTTCGAGCTCAAATTAATAAAATAAAGATTAAACTACACGCGAATGAAATATCCGTTTAGGCCGTCATTTAAGCCAACAATCCTCGGCACAGCGAGCGACATATTAAAAAACATAAACATTAATCGTATTGGTTTAGCTTGATTTGGAAATATAAATAAATGCTCGATGGATAATAATTATTCCTCTCGTACTTAGAGGGTGGCGACTCCATTATTTTCCTTTGGAGGATGTAAAGCCGCGGTTGGGAATCGAACCCCACTGGCAGCCCCGATATCCGAGTCCCACCAGACTGCCGGAGTCTCGACCGCGACGGTAAATATAATAAATCCCATTCGGTCGCGCGTATACGAGGTGCCCGCATAGGCGCCTGATGCCCCGGAATCGCGTATCCAGTGTCCGCCGCCGCGCGTGTGACCGGCGCGAAAGAAAGCGGCGTCGATTATCTCGCGGCGCTCGCGGAAAAAATATGGAGGCCGCATCGAGCTCCTGTACTCTGCTGGCGGCCTGGGAGCTCGAGATGCGTCTCGTCTTCCGAGCAGCGTCTCGCGGCATCGCCTGGACTGGCTCCTTCGGCTCCCGTCTTGGGACGACTCCTTTGCTTCCTCCTCGCGTTGCCTCCTTCGCCGCGGAGTGGACCCCCGAGTCCTTGGGGAGCAGCGCAAAAAATGCGATGCCCCCTTGGCGAGCCTCTTGGCATAGCGGGGTGCCATAAGCGCGCGCTGGTGGTTGAGGGCGACCCTTGGCCCCCTGGCTCGCGGGCAAAAAACCCGTGTGGCGCACCAAGAGAGCGCGATGATGCCGTGAATTGAGCGCTCGCGTCGTTACACGGGACGGGGGGTGGGGCGGCGGCGGAGTGGTTGACGAGAAGAGAGAAAGAGAGTGTGAGTGAGTGAGTGAGAGTGAGTGAGAGAGAGAGAGAGAGAGAGAGAGAGAGAGGGATGAAATGCTGTAGAGGGGGTTGTTACGGGGGGAGGGGGCGGGTAACTAGCGGGCGGAGCCTTCGCCATGGAAAAAGGTTGATAGGGGGTTGCGGTGGGGCGGGAGTCGATATTGGATCGACGCTGTGAAGCCGAATGGTTATGGATTCGCGAGGGGGTGAATGAATATTCACGAGCGTTATGACCGAAATGCGGATGGAGTCCCCCTGCTCTCATTACGACCCTTGCCTTACGCATTTGACTTTATGTATATTTAACGCTGAAACATTTTTACACTTGCTTAGTAATTTTGTCTTTAAATGGAAATGTATCATATTTAATCTAATTACTTATGATTTTCAAGCAACATGTGGATATCACTTTGAATGCTTTCATATATTCGAGTATAATGTATTTATTATATTAGCCTTCGTTCGGTGAATATTTAGTGCGTAATTTTTTATGGAACGAAATACAATGAAGTAATAATTCTATAAAAGTTTTTTTACTTTAATCATAGCTTATGAAATAATAGATCGTGAAATTTTGTAGTAATACAACTGCTTAGTCTTTACGAACTTTGAAAAGTTCTCTTATCTTCGAAAAGTAAGAGGGTTTCGCACTTCCAAACAATTTAACTCTCATAATTTTCAGAAACCACGGAATTTTGCTGGAATATCAGCGTAGCAACGCACGATTGAAAGATATAGAATATTAAATAAATTATTAACAATCTAAATTTATCATTAGCTGTTTTTTTTTCGTTGACAATACTGCCATTCAATTATGTGCTTATTATTGATAATCATAATATCAAAATTTTTCTAAAAATTCTTTTCAATTTATTTTTACGTTTGAATGGGTATTAGTTTGTAAATTGAATTAATAGATATTAAATTTAAAAATAAATTTCCAATATTATCTATGCTTAAAGTACGCGAGAAAGAGCAAATTGTAATACACGTATAAAATTAATGGTAAATAATATGATTTTAAATGTTCACCACCATTTTTTATTCAATTCGGAAAATGTGAACTCTACGTAAGATATCTCTACCAAGAATATTCTCCATTCTACACTATTCTAATTATTGTCAAATCGCTTGTTATTATTTAACTGATATAATACCAATAGTATCAATTGTAATTAGTATATATTATTTAAAAGCAAAAAAAATAATGATATTCGAAAGGTCTTGTATTGAAAGGCTTATAACGCGTAAAGTTAAGAACTATCATAACATTATTTTCAGGGGTGAACTATGAAGATGCTTTAAGAGACGGTGTCATACTATGTATGTTAATGAACAAATTGCAGCCGGGCATTATTCCTAAAATCAATACATCCGGCGGTGACTACAAGATGATGGACAACCTTAATCAGTAAGTAATATTATTATCATTACACCTGCATATACTTTTAATATTATTACGTATGCATTTATAGCACACGCGCTTGTCTCTGAGAGAAACAAATAGAAAGCTACGTACAAAGAGTAAAGATTAAATATTTAATTAAATATTGGAGCTAATATTATTATTTCGTATAAATTTTTATCTCATAATTATAACAATAATAATAATAATAATAATAATAATAATAATAATAACAACAACAACAACAATAATAATAATAATAATAATAATGAAAGAAAATGACTAAATTACTGTTATTCCATTGGCAAATATTAATTTAAACATATTTTAATTCCAAATAGTTTATATTTATATGTTTTTAAATTTTTTTATTAAAAATTATGATCTATTTATTGGGCACCAAGAGTATAATTTTAAGATTTTATAATAAATTATTACACATCTGTATTTAGTTATTTAATCCGGAAAAACATTAAAATATATATTTTATCGTTCTATGCCGATACTTTGTAATGTTGAAAAATCTTAAATAGCTTATGATTATGATTTTTCTAATAATCAGTTTTCTAAATATTATATAGAATTTAATATTAAATCATTTGATTGTTTTCATGGGCAGTTAAGTAAATATTATTAGTTCTTTATTAGCTTAGTCGAATTGACTTATTCAATTCTTACTACATATTTTAATATCTATATATTACATATCTTAATATTTTTGTTATTGTATTTTGGAATTACTCGTTTTATTTACAACAGCGTTTGGCTAAAAATGAAAGTAAAATGAAGAAAATGGTAAAAATGAAGAAAAATAAAAATGAAAAATGTAAGTCGTATACATCTGCATTATGACCAAATCAAGTAGATTAAAACATAGTTAAATTATAATAATACAATTGATATAATTATAATTTGTAAATATTACTTTCAAATTTACGCTTACTAATTACGAAAAGTTTATTAATAAAACAAAAAATTAATTTTTTTTACAAAACTTTCAACAAAGCTTTTGCTTTATTTTATGTTATTATTTTATTAATGACAATCATCTCAGCTATAATATACATATGCCACTTTATCGAAACAATTTCAAAGCTCGATTACCACTGATACTGTTTTACGAAAAAAATTATTAAACATTATTATACAATATCTCAAAGAACTAGTCAATGAAAATTGAGCGATTATTGTTATTAAGCTAGAATAACATAAAATGTCATATCTATTGCATGGAATAGAGGCATTTTATAATTTAATAAGATAAAGCGTAAGACGTCGATTGTACGATGATGGATTTTCGAGGCGCGGCATCGAAAGCTGATAAATATTAGTTACAAAAACGTAGTCGTAATCGCTGGAAAAAAAGAGCTTAAGTAATGAGTAATAAAACCGCGTTCATCTGAATGCTAGCGGCGGCGAGGTGGGGCAGGGCGGGGCGGATTGGTGGCGCGGGAAGGAGGAGGAGGAGGAGGAGGAGATCCGCATCCGAAATCGAGATACACGTTATGATTAACTGCTTTTAACACTGTGCTACGACCCTGATGAAACATTTGCATTGTAGGAGGTAATATTAATCGCTTATCGGAGACAAACTACATTTACCGATCAAGCGCTGAAAGTGTACTATACGTGGCGCTTGGTGTAGTCGCACATGCGACCGTGACAGAGGAGAGGCTCGCCCGAGCAAGGCCGATCTTAAAGATTTTCTGCGGGCGGTAAAAAGGTGGCAAGGGTCGCTCGCTGGTCTTGGGCCGAGATAGCCAAAGCCGTCTCCTGTAAATTACAGCGAGCCCGGGCTTGAAGCTCGCGCATAGCTTGTAACGAGGAGATATGCGCGTGCGTGCGATTAAAATTCCGCCTGCAGCGGCGGCGGTGGAGCGACGGCGGCGACGACGGCAGCGGCGGGCGCGCAAAAATGTAACGTTTGTTATAAACATCGGGCCACCTCCTCCTCCATCCTATTTCCTGACTGCGTATAAACAATTTTCGCAAAATTTTCCAGAGCGCGTTGCAAATCGGGGCCGTGGAGCTTTTTGCAAGTGGCCGTTGCGCGCGCAGCCGGGGACCGGCGCTCGATCGGGGGCCCCGGAGTCCCGGGCGGGGCGGCGAGTGCGCATGTCGCTGTGGCTCCTCGAGCTTTTTGAATTTTAAGAGAGCTGCACGAGGAAGATGGCGAGCTCCGAGACAAAGCGACAAGACAGAGACGAGGAGCCCGCGGCGCGCTCCGGAGCCGCTTCGCGGAGGTAGTGGGGCGAACGATGCGCAGCGCGGCCACTCCGCACTACTCCCTTTCTACGCGAACATCATGAAGGTGAAGGAAGTCGTGGCGATTCGCGCACGCACGCGCCGCGAACCTCGCGAGAAGAGAGAGAGAGAGAGAGAGAGATAGAGAGAGAAACGCGACGCGTATTACACACATGACCTTTGCGAAACTCATGATGCTCTGGTGTCCGGTGGAGCAGTGAGCACTGGCCTGACTCGGGCTACGCGCATCCTGACAGTGCGCTTGCGGGATAGAAGACGCGCGATTTGCGTTTTAGCACCATTCACGCCTTCTCGCGCAGATTCGCTCATTCGTTTTCATAATCACCTCCAAGTCGTTCCGTACTTCCCTCTAAACCTAAAACGCGGGCTTCCCGTTCCCAACTACGGCCTCGTTACCTATGTATTTCAAAGAGTCACGTGTCTGTGCTATTAATTTTTCACACTTAGCAAACCGATCGTTAGTGCGAGAGATAATCGAGTGGTACATAAAAATACTAATTGTTAGAATAGAATGCTCGATCTGCTTGGTCAATTTACACAGAAAATGAATAAGTTATCTTAACATAGTGTAAATGAGCAAACAAATGCCACAATATACCTTAAGAGCTCATAAAATATGAGACATTTATCATTAAGGATTTAGGCAAATACTTATAAGTACAGCAGATTTCAGGATACAGATGACAATTACGTTTCAAGTAGTAACAGCCGTTCGGCTCCCGGTTCATGGCTAGCATGACAGTCTGCTATGTAAATGCCACGCACTTTCTATATCTTATGTAAAATGAAAGAAGATAGTTGTAAAAAAAGGTTGACTATGGATTAATGCTAGAGTTTTCTTTTGTCTTTTTCGTTTTCGAACGAAGATTGGGTTGTTAGTGGCGGCGCAGTTGCGCAGTGCTCAATCACCAGTGACCTTGGGTAGGCGACTACGAAGTCGCGCGCACGCACGTACGCGCTGTTTGGTGCTCATATGCGGTAGACGCGCTGCTTATTGGGAGAGCAGAAGCCTGAGCTGCCATTTGCGCATTCCATCGCGAGTCGCTTATGTTCCGACACCTGCGACGTCGCTTTACCTCCCTCCCCCAGTCGCCCATCCACTATCTCTCTCCTTCCATTATTCCGTTCCTCCCTTCCTCTCTTCCAACCTTCCACCCTTCCAACTTTCCATCATTCCTCCCTTCCTCCATTCCACCCTTCCTCCCTTCCTCCCTTCCTCCCTTTCTTCATTTTGCTTTCATTCGCTTTCTGGCATTCCCTTCTCTGTATGTGTATCATTTGTAGGCACTTGAATATTTATACAAAAGGGACGACAAAAGGTACAAAAAGGATGCGATTATATTCTAAACTGACGTGTAAGCGCTAACGTCGTTGACTCATTTTCCAATATACACGACACGCGTTTGTATAATCACTTGTGTCAACAAGAAACTTAATTTGAATTGTTTCATTAGTACATAGTTCCCTTGATTTCGTACTCTAAAGTACTATAAAAGTATTGAAGTATGTTTGCTTTGTGTAGTCCATAAATGTTTGCGTCGATTATATTGAATTTGTAATAACTGCGGTTTTCAGATTCATTCTATAAAAAACGTAATATTAATACATTTTGTAAATAGAAGAAAAATTATACGAGATAAGTTGTTAAGAAAATTCAGTTATTCTCTTAAAATCTGCTTTTATCACATTAGTCGAGTTAAATATTAGTAAAGTTGTGTACCGCCAAAGTATAAACACACATTAATAAATTTGGTTTGAATTTAATGAGAAAATTTATTTTATAAAGTCAATTTTGAAATTTACTCATTAATCTTAAGTTTATATTCACATGCATACGTACGCACGCACAACACATGTATTTATAACCTTTTTGTTATATTAAATAAGAAAAATTAATCAAACAAATTATGGTTCGAACTAATTAAAACATTAACATTAAAACAAAAAGAGCCTTTAGGTAGATTTATAAAAGAATATTACATTCTAATTTTCTACATATTCGAAGCTTAATTCCAAAGTATATTTATGTAATTCGTTGAAACTATATGATATCAGAATGAAATAATTGATTTATGTGTATTTTTATTAATTTTCGGTTTAAATTTTTCATTAAATGATATATATTTTAGACATTATATGAATGTAAATTTACAAACCTATGGATAAATAATACAAAAAATTTAAATTGAATTTAGTAGTCCGAACGTTCGAAACAGATTATTCATTTATACTGAATATATTAAAATTATACTTATAATCATATTATATAGTTTTAAGTCATAATCTGAATATATGTGTATGTTTATAGGTATTAAATGGGATTGATTCTTTTCTTTAAAAAAATTTTTTACAAAAAAATCAACTGCAAAAATATAAACTACAAACAATATATATATATATATATATATATATAAACATTTATCAACAGTAATAAATATTTCGATAAAAAATTTTACATGTGAGTTTGCGTTTGAAGACATTTTTTTAAATCTCTATATCCATCTAACATTATTAGTTGAAAGATAAGACTTTTTATACTAAAAGCTACATCCCAAAGATTTCGGGCTTTAAATGTTTTTATTACACTAAAATTTAGTTAAATCCTTTAATTTTTAATAACTAATTTAGAATTTTATATAATTATTATCAGGAATAAATAAAAATAAGCCATTCGCTATTATGTATAGATTTTAAACATAATCCGAACAACTTACCTGATCATGTATTTATACAATTTATACTTAAGTACTCAATTTGAGAATAATCATAATTGTCATAATTATTAATCATTGTAATAAAGCATAACGAGTATTACAAATATTTTCATATTTATGAGAAAAAGCTAAACTGAAACTCCTGGCAGAAGGGATTACATCCTATTATAATTTTGGGCAAAAAAAGTCTTGGAGGCAAGTTGGTAGATAAATTGCATAGAATTAAATTAGTCTTTATTCTGAGAAAATTCACGGGGGAAGGGTGAATCGTCGGGAATAGGGTTAAAGGCCCAGACAGGAGCGTGTTGGTTGGTAGTCGCCTTCCAGGCAAGATTGAATGAGTTTTATGTATATATATTGTAGGTATCCATATATAGGCATATTTTTATCTGCCTCTCTCGTCTCACCCTCCTTCGCTCAATCATTCTCATTTCTCCTTTTTCTTTGCGGTACTTCTCTCTCTCTCTCTCTCTCTCTCTCTCTCTCTCTCTCTCTCTTACAAACACTATATATATGCATATGTATAGAAGTGCTATCAAGAACGCTGTCGCGAACTACCCTTTAAGCTTTGTTAATTACTCTCCAATAATCTCCCTCTTCCGGACAAGATCCGGAGACTGACGCTTCGGGTATTCTGCGCTCCTGTTGTCGCGGCACACTCGCCGCTTCATTTGTGCGAATAGTTTCGCGGAGTCGCGACCGCGTTAATTAGTAGCCCTCGCTGATTAACGCCAAGACAATGGAAAGACTCGACTAAGCGAGCGCCCGAACACGGCTAACAGGTCGGCGAAGGAGCTCAAACCACCTTCCCGACCTCCTCTCCGCGTTCTCCTTTGTTTCCGGTCTTTGTAATTTACGGTTCGGCGCTGCCGACTCTCGTTCCTTTCGTCACCCCAGCATACCCCTTTTTCATTACTCCCACTCGCTCATTTAGCCCTTGGTTCGTGCTATTCGGAGCACATAAGAGCCACGATAATGCTCAAGGCCTCGCTCCTCTTGTTTGCTTAATTAGCAACTATCCGGATACCTATCAGGCGATTGCGAGTAAACATGAAACGTACTAATTGCCTCGTGAAACTCCTTCTCTTGAAGCGCCTGATCCCTCCGGGGGACACTCGCCAGTGCTTTTTTCTCAAACTCTTCCCGGATATTCTATAGTCAACAGCTTTGACGAAAGTGTTCACTCAAAGTTTTTGATTGTGATTCTCTTCGCCGTAGGATAAAATATATGAGAGGCTTGAATACATAGAGATCTCTATGCGAGATAAAAGAGTAAATTGCATTAATGTGAAAATAATTAATTTCATAATCAATGTGATCTATCAAGGTCTGTTTGAAACAAAATTACATACATAAACGACTAATTTTTTTTGGGTATGAACTTTTTTTTTTATTACCCACCCCTATTTCATTATATTCATTTTTTCTTTCTTTCTTTTTTTTTTTTGTTTTATAGATTTCAGAGAGCTTGTACTATTTACGGAGTTCCAGATGTTGATCTCTTTCAAGCTGTTGACTTAATTGAACGTAAAAACATCGCACAAGTCACGAACACAATTTTCGCTATCGGTCGCACGGTAATATTTACTTTTACAATTAGTAAAATTTTAATTTTTTATCTCAATCTTAATAAGTCTTAGTTAGAACCAATGTGTAAGCATAAAGATATATCAAAGATATATAATTCTACGGAATATTTATATGTCAAATCAGCATGTTTTTAACTGTTTAGTGAACACATAATGTTAATATAATACACGTGTTAATATAATAAAATTTCTAAACGATCGTTAAAATTCTAAATGCTATTTACGTTTGAAAAAATAATTATCCTGTATATATTGTGTCAAAATAATCAGTCGCTTTTCTTCTTGTAGTCATTGATGTTTTATTTCTTTATTTATTTTTTTTCATGATTTTTATGTTCCGTTCAAATATATGCATGTCCGAGACTTTGTTAAATACAAAATAAAGTCGACGAATGTCTAAGATATTAATATTTACAAGGCTATGGAATATTGGACTAAAAATAAACAATAATCATGGTAAATGTGTTTTTTTTTTTTTTTTTTCATAATAGATGAATAAGATGAACCGTTAAATAATGAAAGAAATGAAAAAGTAATACTTCCAATGTTGTTTTTATAGACATACAGACATCCCGAATGGCAAGGACCATGGCTTGGTCCAAGACCTTCCGAGGAACATAAGAGATACTTTACGAATGAGCAGCTACGAGCTGGTGAAGGTATGATTGGACTTCAAGCAGGTAGCAACAAAGGTGCTACGCAATCTGGACAGAGCTTCGGGGCTTCCCGGAAAATCATATTCGGAAAGTGATTTCTTCCTAATCACATGACATTTATCAATATTTCGTTTAATTTTATTATTTTTACTCTCTCTCTCTCTCTCTCTCTCTATATATATATATATATATATATATATATATATTTATAAATCAACGTAGGTACAAATTTCGACAAAATGATTCAAGTTTATTCGCATTTTTCTTTAAATATAAAAGCAAATATTGCAGTACATATAAAGGTTATTAGGCAATTGTGCTTATATAAATAATTAGTTACAAAAACTCTAATGATTAATACGAATTGGAAACTATCAGTTGTTTAAATATTCAAAAGAGGAAAAAAAGATTTAATAAATTATATTTGATGAAATATATTTAATGTTTAATCATTGTAAAATGAAATAAAGTCAATTTTAAACGTGTGCAAATATAAATTATATAATATAAATAAAAGCAAAATTTAACACAATTAAAATATGCTGAAAAGTATTTCTTTACTACTTCCTATAAATTCCTATAATACTAATTATAACATTAGCTATTGTATCTAGTATATTTTGTTATAATTGTGTCCAATTTATGCACATCGTAAATATATATTTTCTTGTTTATTATCAATAAAAATACAAATGTTAAGTTAAATAAATAAAAACCGATGAGATAAATTGAAAATAAAATTTTCTCTACGAATATCTATTACAATATTGCAACATTAAAACAATAATCTATTCATTCAATATGCAAACAGTATAAACCAGAAAATTGATAATTTTTCTTTTAAAGACGAATTTAAATTTATTTTAAATTAATTGTATTTAATACTTTTATATATTCTAGATAGTATGATGTGAATAAATTAATATAGAAAAAAACTTGTTAGTGAAATAAAATGTAAATAGAAATATAAAGCTATATTATATAGACAGCCGTCAAATTATTTTTAAACCTTACGACGTTGAAATTAATATTAAATATGATATATAATACTGTATAATTAACAGAAATAGTTTATGTAAAGAAAATTTTATTTATTTAAGATGGTAATTGATAGTAAAACCAGAAATTGAATCGATTTTTTATTGGATATAAGCGAACTATTATTGTAAGTTTAAATTTCTTTGATTTGTTCGACATTGTTTATTATATTTAATATAAAAGAAATGTTTAAAATTATTTTTTAAAATTATAAAAATATATTTTTGGTTAATTTTTAATTAATTACTAATATAGATAATAATCATAATTATTAAAAAAATTATTTGAGATAGTTGTATGCGTATATTATATAGTACGAATGTAATTGAGATAGTAGAAAAAAAAAATTAAAATTTCAATTCCAAGTAAAGAAAAAATTTTCAATTATATGCAATAATTATTTGAAATCTTATTTAAATAAATCATTTACGCGTTAAAAAAAATTAAACAAAAATAATTTAAGGTTTATTTATAAAAATTTAACTTTATGTCTCACAAGTCTTAATTATATGCTTTATTTTATCACTACAAGTTTTCTTTCTGTTTGTGAAAAATATCGACTTAACAGTATGAATAAAATATGAACCAACATTTCTCTCCAACGGTTATCATTATTTCTCTTATTCCATATTTTTTTAATGAAAATCCTCAAATTTAAGTTATATAGAGGTTGATTTTTATTTTCTTTGTTTTTTTTTTACTCTTCCTCTATAGGTTTAGGTGGATATATCTGGCAAATGTAAAAAATGACTCAGATGAGTCAGTCGTGGAGCTAGAAAATGAGAGTCGACGTCGACTTGATAATTAGTCGAACTTTCACAACTAAATGTATTCACGGTATTTATACATTTAATATTAATATATTAATATAATATTCATACAGTTTATATAACGAGATTTTTTTTCTTTTTTTTTTCTTTTTAATAATGTTTAATGAATTAAATATTCAATATTCTTAAAATTTTCATAGCCATAATTTATTATAAGTATATATAAGATTTATATTTTCTATATACACAAAAGAAAGAGATTTTATATCGCCGTTAAACTAAAACTTTAAGAAAATGTGAGAGCTATTATTCTAATATGCAGAGATCACGATCTCCAGGGAGTTTGTATATTAAAAGGTTATTTGGTGTGTTTTGATAGTAATAATCAATTTCGTTTATTAATTCGGTTCTTGATGTGTAAATTGAAGTAAATATATATATATATATATATATATAGAGAGAGAGAGAGAGAGAGGGCGAAGAAATGCGTTTTGGAGACAATGAACGTTTGGATCAGAATATGTTAATAAATGTAATAATTAAAAAATAAATTGGAGAGTAAGTGCACCCGTAGAAAAGGGTGAAGAGAATGGAAAAAGAGAAAAAGAAGGACGGGTGTGAAGAAGTTGAGCAGGAACGCAAAGGCGGACTCGAGGCGCCGAGTATCACGTATACAGAGAGGAGGAGGAGACACGTACGCGGGGTCGGTACGTCCGTGATGCCGGGGTCCCCGTAGACGTGACGTGTACGTATACGCATTACACGCATTCCTTGACCGGTTTCTACACCGTCAAGCTCCTCGCGGATCAGGCAAGCATCGCCAGACTGGGGCCGGAGCCACGCGCCAAGTCGCAATTGCGCGCCATCGATAAGCGCCGAAGCCCCTGGGGAGTACGACACGACCGCCCTTCACCACATTCTCCTTCGTCAAAGTTTTGCCAATGCACCGGCGCCTACCGCTTTCCAGATTATCGAGGGCCTTTCGAGGACGTCATCGGACAATCATCGGCGCGTATGACAAATAAATAACACTGCCGCACATTGATACACACGGTTTAATATGAGAAGCACATGCCTAAAAGAAGGGTGCAGCGAGAGAGAGAGAGAGAGAGAGAGAGAGAGAGAGAGAGACATTGGCCATTATGCGTCAGCGATCGATGGAGCAGACCGTCGCAATGAATGAATGAGCCTAAGTTACGTATGGCACAGTCGCTTAGCCGAGGCCAAGTTCGTGAACAAATGGAAATGGAAGGCATAGTAGTAGGACAGAGAGTGAGAGAGAGGGAGTGACGTCGATGCCGACACTGACGTTGACATTGACGTCGATGTTGATGCCGACACGGTCGCCAACACGGATGCCGACGCCGACGCCGACGCTGACGTGAGGCGCGTGGGGCAGGCCAGTTCCGGGGGACCCCCTTGATCAGGGAAGCAGCCGCCAAAGAAGTTCACGAGCTCGGATCGGTTGGGTACCTCTTCCCTTCTCATGCGCTCCTAATGAAAGGGGAGCGTCGCGGAGTGGCCGCTTCGCGCATCAGTACGCCCCACTTTTTTCCTTCTTCTCGGCCCCGGCTCTCTGCGCCGCCCCCTCCCCATCTGCTCCGCCACCCACTCCACCACCCACTCCAACGTGGACCAAAGAACCGCCCACCCGCCAACTACTTCAACTAAGCTTTTTATTCTTCACGGCTTTGTTCCGAGCAATACTACTGCATATCAACGATGTACTACTTACTACTACTTCTTCTCGATATTATTATGATTAATCGATTAGTTAATATTGGCGTAAAAGGGAATAAAGTTTATTCAAGCTTTATTCATTCGTAAAGTCGACTTCTCCCGTTTGCTTTTTTTTCAATGCTCTTCTTTTTGGTTTTATCGTAAGACACTTCTCTTGTTTTAACGCATATAATATAATAATAATATTATACGATAACATTTCATAAAAGTCACATTGTTTTATTAAAGCAATTTCAGATATCGGCTGCAATAAATTAGCAAGCAACTTGACGACAATTGTTGTTTATCCGCTTGTAATCCCTTCGTTACTACTTAAATTAAGCTTAATCAAGGAGTCCTCGTACACACATCTCATTCGAATGGCTACCAAATAACTCGCTCAAACGTCCCCCACAATATAATATCGCGTACCTTCAAAAAAACATTGGAGTATTAAAATTTCAAAGTCGTTGCTATTATTGTTATACTTGTGCATTAACGACAATATTGATTAGCGAATTGCAAAATAGCATTAGAATTTTGACCATTTCCTAATGGTATTCATAATTGATCGCCTGATTATCCGTTGGGGTAACGCCTCCCAACGTGGTAAATTAGCGACTTGTGGAGTCGCGAGGAGAAGCGCGCCTTGACTCATCCCCGAGTCTGTTTCGTGAATTCTGGAAGCCTAGTCTCGAACCGTCGACCGTTACGTTTCCATGGTGCAGTGTTACGCGCGGGTGTATCCCAGCACCGCACACGGGTGCGGCTGCAACGACGCTCGATTGGTTCAACAAGTGCGAGAGAAAGGGCGAGAGCGTCGAACGGCAGCTACACCAGCTGTAGTCTCCTGCTCTCCCGACGTTTAGCCGACTCTATTCGATCGACAAAAGTCTTTGGCGACAAAGGGTTAGGTGAAGTCATGTTAAAAGTGCCCTCGCGCCAAAAGAAGAATAGAGCAGCAGAGTGAGAGGTGCGAGATATTTGCCACGGGCGCGAGCAAGACAAACCTCGCGAATGAGGTTAGACGCGGCCCGGCCGCATCTAGGAGATACTTTCGCATTCGATAAGGCCGATAGATTATGTTTGCCTGATTCCTGTACCTCGCGCTTTCGGGCTACAAACTCGATTATTCTCGCCCGTGTTTTCTCGCTCTTACCACTCGCCATTCCCATACATCCATCCATGCGATCGCGCGACTAGCGTTTACGAGCCATGAATCGAACGAATACCACCGGCGCTTCGATTCCGAGTTCGATTCGACATTATGCGATTTACTCATACGACGATCAAGAACCCCGTACACATTTAATTGCTACTCGATTCATTTTTGAAATTCTGTTTTAAATTATTTAACAGATAAGTTCTAAATATTATACGACGTTATTATTTATTTTTTACGAAAATTTGAAGCGATATACCCACGGACGAAATGCTGCAGTAGTAATTGCGATTGATTAATGTCACTCGTGCTATTATTCAAACTTTGTCTATCATTTTTCTAATCATCATTCTTGTTTTTGTTGTTATTGTTAAGTAGTAGTAGTAGTAGTAGTAGTAGTAGTAGTAGTAGTAGTAGTAGTAGTAGTAGTAGTAGTAGTAGTAGTAGTAGTAGTAGTAGTAGTAGTAGTAGTAGTAGTAGTAGTAGTAGTAGTAGTAGTAGTAGTAGTAGTAGTAGTAGTAGTAGTAGTAGTAGTAGTAGTAGTAGTAGTAGTAGTAGTAGTAGTAGTAGTAGTAGTAGTAGTAGTAGTAGTAGTAGTAGTAGTAGTAGTAGTATTAGTATTATTATTATTACTATTATCATAATCACTATTATTATTTTTATTATCATTATTATCATTATTATAACTATCAATATTATTATTAACATTATAGTCGGTGTTGTTGTTGGTAGATTTTAGAAAAGTAAAAACTATTAAAACAAAAGTCGATTACAAAATTAAATTACGAGTAAAGTTTAGAAAATGTATAAATGTTGCAATTACTTTTTGTTAGTTTGTAAAACATTACAAACAATAAAAATAAAAAACCAGAAGATATACTATAAAGGACATATAACTCAAGTTTTTTTTACTTAAATTTCTGCGTTTGAAATATTCAATGTCAACGTATTATACTAATTATAATTTTGTAAAAAGGAGTATACTTATTTATATTGTTAATATATATATATATATATAAATATATTGAAACAAATATTTACGAAATATAATAACGATTAAAAATTCTTACGGAAATTATTAGTACAGAATACAGTTACATGTTAAGTATATTAAACAATTTGATTTTTAAATTCGCGCCTCTCATTCTCATGTTATTTTATAATTTTTTTTTATTCGTCAATATTACGGAAACTTGACGAGCATACTGTCGTATCTCAGTATGTTGCTACGATCTTAACAAAAAGATTTTAATTATTGGATGCTACTTAATGGTGGATTTACATCCATATGGGGTTGGCAATTGTTGTGTTTGAAATGTTTTTAACGTATTTCATTAATTGATTGATATGAGTTTAGTCAATTTGTGATTGTGCGCTTGTAAGGCTTTTGGAATTGTAGAGATAAATTTCGTAAACAAACATGGATGTTCAAACATCAAGTACTCGAAGAAAAATATTAAGTCATGCAATTTGCAGTATATTAACCGAGTGCGGTTTCGAATCATGTGAAAAAGGAGCGTTAGAAACTCTAACAGAAATGTTACAATCATGTATACTTTGATTTTATAACCTCAAAAGTCATTAAGTTCATTTATCTTTTTAAATATCTTATTGCAATTTCAATTTTTTTTTAGTATTATGTGAAATTGGCGAATCAGCCCGAAATTATTGTGAACTCTCCGGTAGGACAGAGATACTTGTAGCCGATGTACTTCTTGCTTTAGTTAATGCAGGTATCAGAATGGATAACATGCATTTGTACGGACTACGAGCTAATAGAACACTATTACCTCCTCTTCAACAGCAAACTCTAACAAAGCAGTTAAATATATTACAAGCGGGTGTTAAACAAAATCACCCATCTCATATACCTAGTCATTTGCCACCGCTACCTGATCCTCACGCATATATTAGAACACCAGTATGTATTTTAAAATGAGTCTATTATCTTATAAATATATATATATATATATATATATATATATATATATATATATATATCTTAATGCAAATGAAATATTCTTTCAATATTTTTTATTATCTTATTTTTACATAGACACATAAACAACCAGTAACGGAATATGAAGCTATAAGAGAAAAGGCTGCAACGCAGAAGAGAGATATTGAAAGAGCATTAACAAGGTTTACAGCAAAAACTGGAAAAACACATAGTTTATTTCTGAAAGATGATAATAGCATGTTCCCTTGTAAGCAATTCATTTATTTATATTTGAAATAGTTTTTTATTAACTGTGACTTTTAATTCACTTTTACAATTGTTTAGTAATAGGATGTGTACCACAATTTCCTAGCTATCTTTCTGCCCTTCTACCACAAGATCAAATCTTTGATTCCGATAGCGATTTAGAAGCAAGTCCTGTTAAGAAAAAGAAAGAAAAAGAGCCAGAAAATAAGTCGAAAGATGGAAATAAAGAAGGTATACCATATAAATACATTTTTTATTTATTTTTCTACATAATATTTGTTAGCAGGAAACAATAATCAAAAAGACAACGTTGAACAAAGTGAAGAGTCTAATACACAAGCGGATGTGATAGACAATCCATATTTAAGGCCTGGGAAAATTCCAAAAAATAAATTGCCACATATGTCAAGAGCAAATGAAAGTGGAGTTTTGAGTTTTTAATGTAAATAATAAATTGTACATATGAGGAAATATCGTTAAAATAATAAATTTTATAATATTTTATTTTCTAAAATCGTGAATTAATAGTCTCTAATAAATATCCTTTATTTAATTAAAAAAAAATCAATATATAATTCCATAATAATGTCGAAAAGTTAAATATATTTTTAGCAATATTTCCTTGTTAACTTGTAAGTATTGTATAGATATTTTTATAAGTAAGAGCATAAGAAATTATAAAACCACGAGTCGATTAATTTATTAAAATGTTTTATTACATTACTTGTATCTATAATAGGTTACAATGTATTTCATTATTTTTATGAACAATAAATATAAAATTACGTTTCAAAACATTCCTATCCGATCTGTGGGGACGGATATTTGATTGGTCAAAATTGTAAGTAGATGAAGGTTTATTTTATTCTGCAAGCTTGATACAAGTACACGTTTCTACGATTAAGCCTATACGATCGATTTTTACTATATCGTAGCACCATATTTTTATCGGTAATAAGGCTTCTGGCAAAGGAAGTTTTAATTAACTTTCGATTGTATTGCACATTTGTCAAAATAGAAAAATAAATAGTCGATTATATCGAACTATCACTTGCATATTTATAAAAAATAGCGTTCTTACATTTCAAGAATAAAATGTACTATTATCATCTTATTACTAAATTCACGTGTGCCCCTAGATTGTAAGTACATGAAAATGGAAGCATCGCGTAGTTCGTGTATCCTATATTCGCATTAGTACTCATTCATTCAATTAGTAATAACATCGAAACGAAATTGGTTATATATATACATTTATATATATATATATATATATATATATATATATATATATATATATATATAGATAGATAGTTGATTAAATTGACCGCAAATCAGTTCTAATTAATATTTTCAAATTTACTCGAGTCGAGCACAAAATTAAATCTAATTCATACAATCTTGTAATATTTAGAATTATTTGGAAATTAAGTTAAAAATTTTAATTGTGCTGAACAAGAAAGGTACTTTTAATGACTTGACTATTTAAAACAACAATATTTACTAAAAATATTTCGATATATTTATCTACATATTGATTGCTTTCTTTTAATTCTCTATACTCTTACAATTAGTACTTTTGCAACTAGTACTCTTGCTTTTAATTATTCTTAGTATTGGCGCTGATACACCTTATCAACGGAATGTTGAATACTCTACGATGAAGCATATATCGTTACTCTTCGAATATATAAAGTATTCCCCTAAAAGAATCAACATAAAAATTTCTTGGAACCTAAAATTAGGAACCTATTCAGCGGTTAAAGGATCCCAACTCCGTCTCGAGTATCAAGAAACAAAAAACTCATTATCAAAACAATTATCTAAAATATCGCTATTCTTAATATGGCATGAGAAAATTGCTGTGAAATATATTAGACAAGACAATGCGAAGTCGGCAGTGGCGAGAGGAGATAGTCTTAATACTGGTACCATGGCTGCCGGCGGACCCAACGTAATTTCATGCCCGAAGCTGTTCTAATCTTAATGCTTGCACACTCAGCCGCACGAACAGTCTCCTTGACACTTTGCATGAGATTCTGAGCGTTGCCGACGAGCATATCCGTTGCCTCCTGGTCCTCCTCGGTACCTGCATTTTTTTAAACAAGGCACTTTAGAGTTGGAATACATTGGAATGAAGAGCTCTCGATTATGTGCAATTTTTTTTATTTTGTGCAATTGGGATGAAGTTTTTATGTGTAATATGTATTACAATTTTCGTTTTTTTTTTAATTTTGCAGTAATGAAAGTGTTTTTAAATATTCAGACAATATTAAGATATATTAACCATTTAAAAAAAAAACAAACTTTTAATAATATTATTTTGTCCACTATTAGCAATATATTTTAATGTGTAAAAATTCATTTTTTTTCTCGGAAATAGAGACATGCACAAGAAAAGTAAACGCGTATAAATTTTTATTTTTTTTTTAAGCTTTTTCTACATTTACATTTAAAAATGGAAAATTGTATATTATTTCATTACGTATAAATTATACTACTTAAAACTTATTAAATATTACATGCTATTAGATCACTCAGCATCAATCAAACTACACCCAGAATATAGGCAAATAAATAATTTTATTTTTATATTTTGTAATATAAGCAAGTCCTGTTTTGTAAGCTTGATACACAGGACACATTACTATATATTAATGGAATTTTTGTATTAAATAATTGGAAATAAAATATACGTAAAATTATATTAAAATATCTAAGCCTATTGAAGCTATTTGATTGTATAGGTTTATATAGGGATGTTTACATGCATATATATTATAAATATTAATATAACATTCACGTGTTACTGAAATCATAGATTCAATAAAAATTCAGTCATAAACAAAAAACTACGCGTAATATAAATAATTACATCATATGGGAAAAGAATATGTTCCTTGCGTCAAGTCAAATCATAAATACATTTATATATATATATACACATATATGTCATAACATGCAATTACTATTTTTATAAATCAAGGAATATGTAATACTGAAATTATCAATCGTATTTAAATAAGGAATAAATATATCTAATTAAAACAATGTTACGATTCAATCTAAATTAACTGATGTCATAAAAAGATCATCTACAATTATATAATGATTATAATTAATATAAATTAATTTTATTAATGAAATCTGCAAATAATTTTCCCAAAAATTATTAATTCAAATTCTCCAAAATTTTAGAATGAATTTAAATCAGACGTAAATTAAAATATAGTTTTACATTCAAACTGTTTATTTATGTGTGTTAGAAATGAGTAGACAAATGTCTACTATATAAATTAAACAAAAATGTGTGTAAATTATTTGCAGTTTTTAATAGAATCGACGTATCTATACTTTCAATTTCCAATTTACACAAAAAATAATTTTTCTTAAACGAATTATATTATCTTTAAACTACAATTTAATTATCTAAATACTAAATATGCAATATACGAAATTAATACTAAATTTTGTTTAATAATCATTTTTCAACTGGGCTTTACCATATAACATCAGTTCTTCCCATGTGGGGAGCGTTTCTAAGTATAAAGAATTAATTTGTTAGTATTTATTAATTAATTATTTAGTTGATAGCTCTTTTTAATTCTTTTAGTAGATTTGCCGTATCGTTTCAAATTATTGAAATGTATCTTTTAGTCAGGTTACCTTGAGCGCCGAGCATCGTTGCTTTAACGGTTGATAAAATTTTAAGTTGGGTTCCAATAGTTGGAATACGTTCGCAAACTTGAAGAAGGTTCTGTATAAAAAAAAAAAAATAGGTATTAGATTCTCAATTGAATAACAAAATTAAACAATTTTTACAACTAATTAATCTTCCATAAATTCATAAATATGTATCTTTATATTAAAAATCTATGCGTATAGTAAACGGAAAATGCTTAAAAATGAATATTTGTAAAACTGTTATTTTATAGAATAATAATAATAATAATAATAATAATAACAATAACAATAACAACAATAATAATAGCAAGAATGAGAGTAATAATAATGTATTATACTAACAGTACGAATACGTTTGTCGGTACATTCTCTAGCGAGTTCTTTGGCCAACCGTGTAACCTCCTGAGAAGCCTCTGCGATGGCTTTAGCACAAGCTATTAAATCTCGCTTATTACCACCTTCACCTCTTACAAGACCAGACAATCTTCCCATCAGAATGGCCATTTTCTTAGCAGCAGCGATGATTTCGTTATCCTTACTAGACCACTGTCGAACTTCTTGATGAAGACCATGAGCTGCCATCTATAAATAAAATATTTAATATTATAACTTTGACTAATAATCTTAAGCATCCTTAAGACAGCCCTTAAAATATACTGTATCCAATTGCATAATCTTCATTGTAAAAAAAGTAAGAAGCCTGTAAAAATACAAAAAAAAGTAATGACATTTTTTTAAAGAAAAAGCCTACAGTTTTTCGTCGGGTGTGTCGAACAAAATATATATTACATATTCTTTGATATTTAGGGAGCTTTTTAATAGCACAATGAATAAATATGTAAATATTGAAGATATATAAAAAAATTAATTTTTAATTCCTTGTTACTTTTATAATATTTTGTAGATTGATATTATTTGGAAATAGTAATAATCAACATAAAATCATTATTATCTGATATACAATTAAAACTTTCTAAAATTTATTATTTATGAGAAAAATTTATGTAATAATAAAAATTAAACTACGGTATATTGTACATGAAATTGAATAGAAATTATTCAATTGTATATTTTTCATAAATCAGCTAATCTGAATACTTATATTTCGTGCTATTGTTTGCTCATAAATATCATTTATATATATATTTGAATTTTTAATAGCATAGGGGCAATACAAAATTGAATATCTCGATTTATACAATTATTTATATAGATTCAATTAAAACTTTTAGAGGGTAAAGGGTATTATAAAAAATTTATAGCTATATATGAAATGAAATTTCAGATGATGTTTAAATTTTCAAATGAAAGATAGTAAACATCGATTATTAAAAGTATCGATTATCATAAATTTAAGTTTAAAAATATTAATGTAATAGATATTTAAAATAGTAGCCTGGATACTAGATTTGTTGTATCATGATGAAATAGTGGTATTAATTATAGTAAATGCTATGATGGTTCAAGTATTTGTTCTCGGCAAAATATCTCTTTATTAATTCACCATAATTGGTTGGTTTGGCTGAGGAGCATGCATGAACATTTCATCTTCATCGTCGGTCTCTGGTGGTGGTGGTCTAGGTGGCGGAACTTCTCCACTAGGTAATGGCGGACGTGGTGGAGCCATGTCTGTCAAATATACATTTACATTAGATTAAAATTTTTTTGATTTCTGCACGTATATGATTCAATAGATTAAATATAATTATGGTATATATTTATATCATTATACGTTACAGCTGTCTCTTATTATTAACAATAGATTTCTAGATTGATACAAATTTCTCCTTTGGCTAAATTATAGCCACACACACACACACACACACACACATACACACACACGCGCGCACGCGCGCACATCTTTTTACAAAAAATTTGAATTTTAAAGTATTAGCAATAATTGGTGATAATATTATTCATGATGAAATGATAATTATGTTGTATTCATAAATTCGGCAAAGCTATAGATCATTTAGAAGGTTAATTCATGTTTTAATAAATATATTCTTTTCGGTTATATAAAACACTTCAATCGTTACCAAATGTTTTAGTTAATATAAATTCATTGATAAAAAGCAACTAAAAATATTGCATAACTGTGCTATATTAATATGCATAAATAACACAATTAATTAAAAAAAAAAACACGTTAAATACAATTACGATTTTGCATAAGTAAATTTCTTTTCATGCCAATGAAGATATCAATATATTATATAATGCAGCGATGTTGTTTACAACGAATTACCTCTATATCTATTGGCCCTTTGACTTTCATCTCTAGGTAGATATTTCTGGTTCGCATAGTCAGGACTATCTCCTGATAAAATATTCCATTAATTTTTAAGATAACTTAAAATTTCATTTTATACAAATATATTGTATAAATATCAGGTTTTACAGATTATTTTAAATTATAATTCATGTACAATGTAGTTTTATTTTTTTTTTTTAAAGATTTTATTTATTATTTATTTTCTTTGCATAAAGTATTTTAATTAATTTAAAATAATAATAAAAATATATAATTAAACCAAAATAATTATAATAAAAAATTACAAACAAATTTTTTTTTAAATGTTTAAAATTTTTTTGAATTTATTCTATTTAATGTTACGCAGATATCGCTTTAATCGTGGGTATTTAATATCGCGGCAAACAGGGTGAGAATAAATAAAGTGACAATACCTCCATCATTGATCCGCAGCTGTGATAGATTGGGAGGCACTGGAGGCACAGGTGATACTCCTTCTGGTTCGATTGCATTTCGCACCTGACCCACACCTGCCAACAGCTATATACAAAACCAGCCATGTAAATCAAATGATGGAAAATCAAATGGTAAAACATGTTTAATCAATGGTGCACTTACCGCTCTGTTACTGTCACGCCAACGTGATATCGACGGACCATCGTTTATATTCATTGCGACGGCCTTGGCGTCCTGGACCATTGGTGTTACGCCTGAAAAAAGTCACGCAACAGGTATTTTCTTATTAGAGTTGAGAAAAGTAATTTATTATATTTACATTTATAAATGGAGCTTGCCTGATATTTTTGAAAGATACAAAAAATTTATTGTGTATAAGCATACACATACGAGCAACAATACATTTATGTAATTATATATTAATAACAAGATTTCTTTAAGATAATGAAATACAATAAATAATAATAAATTCGTTGTAATTAACATTATAATCTATTTTATTTGGTTAATGTAATACTTAGAATTAGGTAGAGATAGGTAGAGAATTTAAAGGAATTTTAACGAGTTTAGACCTTTCAACCAGCTCACCTCAAATTGATAATGATAATTGCATTTAAAAGTCCTACGAAGCATTAGATATATTATCATATTTTAATACATTTTCCAAACGATTCTAGCAACTTAAGAGGCAATGCTTACAATTCTGTAGAAGATCAGCTGCATGATTGACCCTCTGTATAAATGATAGATCCTCGCTATTGTCGCTCTCCTGTTTGGCCACAAGTATAACTCTGTTGGCCAATCTAGCAATTGCGGAGGTATTATCCACCATTTTTTGAGGGTTGTTTCTAGCAATTGCGTCTTCGCACAGAATCGTGTGTTTTTTCATTTGCTCCTCTGAGGCCTTGATAAAATCTGCACTGTCGGTAGCCTCGTCGCAAAGACCCCTGGCACGCTGTATCGTATCGGCATATTGTTGGCGCAGATTCTCAAAATGCTCGTCGGCTGCTTTGCTCTCCGGATATGTCATTCGGATGCGACCGGCGTTGATCAGTTGAGGTGTTAGAGATTCCAACTGCGAGGCAGTAGCCGTAAGGGACTCGGCGAGTTTCTTGTTACCTCCGCTGCCTGAACATTTTAATACCACTGAATTGAAGTTATGTATAGAAGTTACATAATTGAAATTATGTAGGTTGGAATGGATACTCTGTTAGTATAATTGGTTTTAATACTTCAGTAATTGATTTTTATTTAAGAAATATTGTAATTGCTTTCGTATGCGAGTTTCTTGTTACCTCCGCTGCCTGAACATTTTAATACCACTGAATTGAAGTTATGTATAGAAGTTACATAATTGAAATTATGTAGGTTGGAATGGATACTCTGTTAGTATAATTGGTTTTAATACTTCAGTAATTGATTTTTATTTAAGAAATATTGTAATTGCTTTCGTATCATATAGTTTATATATATATATATATATATATATATATATATAAATAGTAATGTCTTAGATAAATGTGCATCGAGGCAATAACTTGGAATACTTTAATTACAAGTTTATGAATACAATCTTTTAATTTGATAATTAGCACTGTTGATTTATTTATATATTAATTTTGATAAGCTTCATAAAACAATACGGCGATCATATAATTATTAAATATACTTGGACCAATATGTTTAAACATATTTTATGGTTATAATTTGTAATTAGAATAATAATTGAAATTTTGCTACCTTATGTAGTAAAATAAATGTAAATCTATTGTTAGATAAAACTTATTTTCAATGTTTTGGCACACGAGACATTGTATCGATATAGTAATCTAGAGAGGCTTAATAAAAGAACAAAAACAAAAAAAATTCGTTTGATCTTAAGTAATTTAAAAATTTTCAGATATAAATAATTTCATTCGTTTTAATGAACATATTGGAGAAATATGTTGGAACTGTAGTTGATGGAATTGAGTATAAGCTAAATATTTTCGAAACAATTGAAATTCTTGGAAAGTAATTATAAAATTCTTCACTTCTCAAGAGGAGAATAACATATAAACAAAACATATGAAAGTTACCGTATTGGCATTATTGTTTCTCAGGTATGCGATGAGAAGGAAAATGCTAACTCACCACCAGCAGCTACCATTCTAGCAGTCTTGGCGGCTCTGTTAGAGAAGTTCTGCAATGCCAAGGTTTTATCATTGAAGTTCTGCTCGCGTCCTGGTGTACCTTCCGGCGCCAATACGGCTTCGGTGAATTGTTTCAGAGGAGTGGTGATGTCAATGAAGTCCTCGACTACGCGCGATACGACCGCCTGCTGTATTTTATTCTTAAGTTCGTGGAGTTTTTGTGAAAGTTGGCGGGCGATCTCCTGGGCGCGCGGACTGTTGCCTTCGCCACGAGCACATAAATCGCCCAGTTGGTGCGATAAATTGTCCACCTCATCGCATAACTGCAGGATCTCGGCTTTATGTATGCCGGGTAGGCCCTCCGCGACCTGTGCATAACGCCTGATTTTTAATATACCGTTCTTAAGAAATTTAAAAGGTCCTTCATTCCAGAAATGTACGGGATCTTTGTTTTTATGAAATCGCTTTGAGGATGAAATAAATAATAATGTTTTTAAATGACTTTTATAACTGAAAGATTGTATTTTAAATAGAGTGATTATTTGATAGATACTTTTTGTAAAATTAAAATGCTTATCACTTGAAGAGATTAATTATGTTTTAAAGATACTATATTAAAAAATGTTTACTTCATTTAAATTGTAATTAAATAAAATAAATAATTAATTGTTATATATCGTTAAAAGTGTTTCTAAATCTTTATTTTCAAATAATTTTTTAATTTAGATAGTGATGATTCAATCAAAACATTCGTAATAATAATAATTATAATAATAAAAGAACGTAAGCTTATAATGAGTTGCGTACATTGGTAAGCACTGTCACGGGATGTAAATTTGGAAAAATATGTATTTGCATTATTTTTCACTGCTTATATTATTTTTAATCGCAGTACATAATTGCAACTCCCTTTAAATTAAATTAAAATTATTTTATACGGATAATATTCTAATAACATCAAATAAATTAGAAAAAATAATATCAATTGATATTTCAAGTAAAACGATTATTTATTACACGTATATTCCCAAGAGTAGCATCGATTGGACGACTGAAGCTCTATTACCAATACGATTAATAAAGTTCCAAGGCTTATTTCACATATGTAATCGTGATTCTACGTTCGACACGTGGAATACAGAATAAAATTAAAATTGCCAAGCGACTTATACGTTAGAGTAGCTAAGTGCAAAGTATGAAATGAATTACCCTTTCAAGCAGTTACCTTTTTCCCCTCGTGAATAATTAAAGCAATGGCTTTTTGGCCAAGACCTTTGTCGTCGTGCTGAGGATTCAGTAACCACTTATTAGCTTGTTCCAGTCTACCGGCGACGGTATGGGCGGTCTGCACTGTGCCAGACTTATCAGCCGCGACAATCGCTGATGAGATGTTAGAACGTAGCTCGTTGACCTTCTCTTTAATTCCTCGAGCCAGAGCTTCACCCTGAGGCGATGTTCCTGGACATGCGATTAATAACGAATTGTGTATTTATGCATCTATTTTTATTATGATTAAGTACATGCACATCTCTTAATCATTAATGTGAGTCTATAAGGAGTCTAATCCACATTTTATAAGAGTTTTATCATTTGAAAATTCAAATTTAAAGACTATATAAACGTTATATTCTTACATTTTTATATAACTAATGTGTGTAGATTATATTAATATATATTATAAGGGTTTTATTCTTATATTATCGTAGACATGAAAGTAGACATTAAAGTATCGTGAAAACATTTACGTACGTTGTCCAAGAAAATATGAATCATATGTTCAAAGACGTAGTTGAAATTCTATTAAAATACTTGATTAAACATATAAAAATAAATAGCTTTTTTTATTATTAAAATAATATATTAATTGATCGATTGAAACTTAAACAATGCTTGAAAGTATAATAATTTTAAATTTATCGGGATAATTTGCATATGTAATTTGAATATAATGCAGAATAAGCATCGTACCTTTATCATTTTGACGCAATTCGCAAAGAGCGTCGGTCATTGTGGTCAATTGTCAATTGAGAGGATAATTTCGAGATTGGATCAGCTTGGGAAGGTGGCAAATATCGATTTGCTAATCGTCCAGCTTGCTCAATTATTTGCCTCAAGCCCTTTTCGCCGACTCCGCCTCTTAATGCATTGCCATTATCCAGCCAATCGAAAGCCGGTTTCACGCGCGATTCTATTGCGCTCTGAGCTTTTTTCAATACCTATAAATTGATATTAAAATTTTGCTCACTCTCTCTCTCTCTCTCTCTCTCGCTCTCTCACTTATATAATAGTTAGCAATTTTTCTCAGTTGGCCTACTAACGAATGATTTCTGCTGTGACATAAATATCATACCGTCAATTGATCGGCGTCCCATTCGTCCTCGTCATATGTTGTTAGCTGGAGTACGCGAATAATTTCATTTATCTCCTCAGACATTCGACCAGATAAGTAATTACGGTTCTCCGCAGCCTCTTCAGCACCTTTACCGCCACTCGAAATTATATGAATAAAGATTTTCATTGAACATATGAGAATTGGCGCTAGAGTTTTTACCTATGTTGTAGGAAATGTAAGAAATTTATCTATCGTAAGTCAAGACATATTTAATCAAATTAAAATTAAAAATTAAATTATTATCTATCGTTGATTAATTGTTATTTTATTTATATTATCGGATAATATTATCCTAAATGGGTAATATGTATGTTAAAATTTACATAAATAATTTGAATATTAGAAGAGAAGGTAGATATTAAGCAAGACACAGTATAATTATTGACACCTCGTTAAATATTGAAAAAACAAATAAAAAAAGAGCGCTTGTTTATCATCGCTATTATGACACGAAAAGTTGAAAAATAAAGTGTTGAATCGAGAATAAATTATAACACGTGAAATTTTGCTGATGTATTTTATTTGGTTGAATAAATAAAGTTCTCATAATAACAACAATAATAATGACGTTTTATTTAATATTAACAATTATTATTTTATTGTGAATTTAATATAAACATATTGTTATAAAAATAATTAAAAGATTATATATTTTTTAATTATATTAATATAATAGCTACTCATTATAACATATAAAAATTTACTAATAGAGTATGATAAAATTTTACCTGATCCAAACATCTAATGAGAATTTCCCTATGCACTTGATGGGTTAATTCTTTTTCTCGAGCGCTTACTTCTCTAGAAACTTTGCTAAGGCATGGACTTAAATTTTTTAAGAAATGTACTAGATCTTCCATTGTTTCAATAACTTCGGCAATTGCCAAATAGTCGAGAACACGTTTGCACTCTCGAATAATTTTACGAACTTCGCTTTCGTCAAAACATAATAATAATGAACTTGTGCCTTGCAGTATACCTCGAGAACCTTCTATTAATTTTTTTCTAAAAATAAAATATATATTACAAATTAAATAAATTTGTAAATTAAAAAAAGAATAATAATATTTAATCATTTTTAGAGCTATATAAAATAGAATTAGGGTTACAAATCAGTTTAAATCAACTCTTGCTGCTTCATCGTCTCAAAAATCTATTGTGAGCGGCATTGATGTTAATCATTTATATACTTTACTTTTTAGAGGTATATAAAATATAATTAAAATTATTAGATTAGATGTATATTATGTTTTATTTAAAGTGCAATGTAGATTATTTGTGTCATAATGTTTTTAAGTAAAATAGTAGAAATGATAATTGACTTTTGTTTATGTATTAATAAAAATTCGGCATAAATGTTAATAAAAAATTTTTTGACTGAAATATCTGATATAAGGTCAAATGAATTATCATGTAATTACTAATGTCTGAGTCATGTATTTGTTGTCATCATGACCCACCATATGTCACTTTCTGTTATTAAATGTTTAGCCACTGTATTTACATTTCGGGGTCAACTGAGTCGCTTGTCTTTCTTAAATGCACGAAAGCGTGTATTTTTAAAGTTTAATTTATTAATATCGTTGGCCATTTATTGATGAAAAATATAACATTCTGTGTATCAACATCGATAAACCTGTTTAATCATGCAATGTCTTGAATTAATAAAAATATACTGTTAAAAATAAAAAAAAACTACTCAAACTAAGACATCAACCTTAGCAATAAAGCGTTAATAATTCAATAATAATTCATTTTTTTCATAAACATACCTGTATGACATTTTATACGTGTAAGTAGTAGTAATCGTACTATACTTGTAGAAGTGATATAAATATAAAATAATAAATTTAATTAAAATTGAGAAATTGTTTATATAGTGTTATATAATATATTCTAAAACTTATATTACACGCAGTAGTGTATTTAATTACTACAGTAATTTAAATTTACCAATACACCAAATGTGAATTTATAATTTTGACTTTAGTATATGTAAATAAAATTTGATGATGAAAATATTACCTGGCTGAACTGGAGTAAGGATCATTTTTTAACATTACGGAAGCTTCTTCTAAAAGATGAGAGGCACCTTCAACGCGCTTTAATGAACCTGGCATATCTTGTTTAAGCAAAGCATCATCCGAAGAATTAATTGTCTCCTTACCGACCTAAAAACAAAGATTTTTCAAAAAGTATTTCATAAATATTTCAGAAATAATGAATAATCATTAAATAATTAATACCTTCACAAGATTTGCAACAGCCATACTGACAGCCTTAACAGGTCTTTCCAAATCTGGCATTGCATTCCCATCTTCAGCCTCTTCATGTAATATAACTAGCCTCGATACCTGAAATATAATGAATATAATGAATTATATTATATCATTATATTTATATTCCATTACTTTAATAATAATTCAATGGTTATTTTGACATAAAATAAAGATTTTTTATGAACGATATATTTTATTGGAAATATATTTTTCAAATTAGGTATTAATCATCTGCTTTAACAAATCCTTATCAAGTTATAAATTATCCATTGTATAATAATCATTGTTAAAAGGTAATTTTCAACTCTTAATTTTTAAACTTATTCGACGAATTGATAATGTATTTTATTTTTCAATTCAAATACAAATATTTTTAAAACGGCTGATATTAAATTATTGCACTTAAACAAATTCATGTATTATTTGAGTAAAATGACCATTTAAGCAATAAAGAATTATAAAATTGATTTTATTTGTAAAAAATTGAAAAATTATTTAAAATTAAGGCATTTCATTCTTAATATAGTATTATTCTAAAAATGGTGTTATAACAATATAATATAATAAAATTTATATTTTACTTAAAAACGACTTTCTAAAGACTTTAACTTGTATTATTATTTATTTATATTTTGGTTTCTATTTTACTTTATTATATTTGGAAAAATGACAAAAGTATTTGGATAAAAATTGTAAAGTAAAAATAAATAACATTGATGGTATTTTTATAACCATATCTACCACGTTATATATTCATAAAAGAATGAATTTCAAATACATTACCGAATGTAATATGAAGCAAAGCTTTGTAAGAGGAAAGTTCTAATTTTCAATTATATTGCTAATTGTTTGTCGTGTACGATGATTGGCTATTTTATGTACAGAAAATGTAATTATTTTTAAATAATTGACAAGATAACATATTGTACTTGTTGTTCATTAAGTATTCAATAAATATCAATATAAAAATTTGTCACTACAGAAGCCTAGTAATAAGTACAAAAGATTATTATATAATAATTATTATTATATTAAATGTTGTTATTGGTAATCATATAATAATGATCAATTGCAATATATTTTTATGCGATACATTTTAATAAATAAATTTTAATTTTAATAACCATTAATAATTGTGATTACTTTTACTTCTACGATAATATTGTTTATGTTACTTTCAAAGTTCTTTAGTCAATTGACAAAAACTTTTAAAAACCCTATTTTTTCTTCTCCTTCGTTTTAATAAAAATTAAATGACAAATGCTCTTCAATTCTTAATTTTAATTTAAATTTTGTTTATAATACCTGCATAGGTAATAATTGAATGAAAAAACATACGTGTATTTATTTTTTTTTTTAATATTACGTTATTAAATAAATAGAATATTTCCAGAATTTCAATACAATTGCATTATATTTTTGATATTGATTTATTTATTTATAAAATTATATTGTTTTATGTTTTTTATGAATTTTTCTTATTGACTTGTAGAATTTAAATTATCGAAAACTTATAGGAACTCATAAACTTTAAGAAATGTCATAATATATATTATTGTAAAATAATATATTGTTAATATAATATATTCATAAAATATTTTGTATTAATACTTTATATATTATGCGATAAAATAAAGCATCAATTATTTCCTTAACATTTCAACGATAAGAACGCAGAAAATAATGTGTTATATTAATGCGAAATAGGACAGAAATAGATGAATTTCTTTTTGTAAATAATCAATGAGAGCTATTATATTATTATATTGTGATATATTTCTAAATAACCGTAAGTATGCACTTATATATATATATATATATATATATATATATATATTAATATATGTTTGTAGAAAAATGAAGAGAAAAAAGGGCATATATATGTACATATAGAATTGCAGAAAATTGAGTAAAATCGAATCAAGAACATAACAGGAAAAGCACATGTATATATAGATTTCTCGTCTAACTTGAGCATCAGTGTTACCACTTAACAAACTTATTAGTACGTTGACTAAATTTTTTCCTATACCGCGATTGACAATTAAAACAAAAAGAACGAATAAAAAATAAAGAATAAGATATTACTTTTGATTTTAATAAATATCTTTATATAGATAATATTTCGCCAATAATAAAAATATTTACAATAAAATAAAATGTTTTCATAGAACTTAATATGAAGTTTATATTTGATGTGAATATTGTTTTATTATCAATAAATTATTAACACAATGTAACGATAAAAATATTCTCAAGAAATATCACTTTGAGTCTATTAAAAAGTGATTATTTTTGTATATATTTGTAAAGCATAGTATAAATATAATAAACATTACTTCATTAAAATATACTAAATTGGAAAATTTCATCACTCGCGATTGAATTTAATAATTTATTCATTTTTATGTAAAATAAACAAAATTAATAGACTAGGTTCTAAATATTATAATACGTGTAAAAACAAACATACTGGTATAAACAACAATAAAATGCTAAATTCATTTATATTTGCAGTATTGGCCCTTTTCATAAATTTACTATCGTGCAAAGTTAGTATTAGTCCGAATAATAATATTGGCGATAAATTTTACTACTAGTTAGAAAGTAATGTTTTTGTTATAATTTATTAATCGTTATTTAAGTGACTGTCAAATTTCACTACTGAGTACATTTTAAAGGTCTCTTTAATATTTAATGTCTAATTCAAACAATGATATTTCATAACCGAAGAAGTCTTTGCAATAAAATATTTTATATTGTAAATATTAAAAACATTATATAATATTTTTGCTTTTTTTTAAATTATTATAAATGAAAATATATTCATTGTTAAATGAACATTCATAATTAAAATCAGATTAGTGTTTAAATAAATCGAATTAAGTAAAAATTTTCAATTAAATATAATCTATTTATTTATTTTTGGTAATTTATGGTAATTATTTTGTGGTAATCATTTATCTTAATTTTATATGAATTTATTGTAAAATATTCAATGACCAAGTCTATAGAAAGAAAATTGTTTAAATAATAATTATTGGAAGATGTAAATTACAGCATTAAGATAACATTTGAATGACTCCTTTAATCCATATTTCATGAAAGTTATAGTTTCAATTAATATTTCAAAAGTTGAAGGCAAAATCAAACATTTACTGAATATTAATACGATCAAGAAATGATATTTTAATTTATCGTTCTATAACTAATTAGGCTTTACATATCCATATTTATATATTAAATAATATTAAGATTTTTAATAATTAATTTAATAGCAAATATACGGCATATGAAGCTTATAAATATTTATCGAAAATTAATTATTAAAAGATTTATAATATTTTTATTTTATAAATCATTTATTTATTTATTTCATCGATTATAGGTAAATTTCTTTAATTATCTATAGAAATATAATAATATTTTTTAGAATTTAGTTCGATTACCTTCACTTTTTACAGCTCTAACATGTATTATGTTTCATTATTAGATTTTAATGTTAGATATCCTTAAGTAATATGAGAATTTTAAAAGCTTTTGAAATAGACAATTTTTCAAATTAAAGATTTTATATTAATATGCTCAGAAATAATGATTAATTACCAACTTCTACAAATTTCACATCAATACTCAATAAAAATGAAGTTACGTGCTGTGCTATAAATACATTTGCTTATAAAAAACGCGCGCGCGCGCGCGTGTGTGTGTGTGTGAGTGAGCGCGCGATTAGTTACTATTTTAGAGGTATTTAAATTTAAATTTATTTGTTGTTTTTATTAATTTATATCAATTTATATTTTAATGTTTTTTTAAATATCATTATAAACGATAACTAGGCTAACTGCTTAGTATATTGTAACATTGAATAGCCGATTTTATGAAAATAATACTCTATACTATTTTTTAATTAACTATTAAAATTAAATTAATATGCATATATTTTGAAAATATGTATTTACTTATATTAATTTTTACAATAAATAAAATTTTATAGACATTAAAAGTATATGACTTAACGATTGACAAATAAATATGTTGTATGTATAATAAACAAATCAATCTTTGGAATTTGTAGTCTCTGTCATACTTTACCCAAAACAATTTTTAATTTTTACTTATATTTATTTTGAAGGAAGACTCAATTTTGTAAGAATTTCATTTCCTTATTGTTCAATGAGTTTATGTGAAATTAATTAAATTTACATCTTTTACAAAACAAACATATTAGAATTTTCTTCGGCACAGTGAATAAAACAATTATTGCTTATCTGTTTGATATTCTTAGTGGAATTCTATTTTTATTTATGACATTTAAGTAATATCTGACCTTTTGTCGAGGTTTCTTTGAATACGCAATCAGAATTATAATACTCTTGACATAGATTAATCCAATTTTAGTTTTAAAGAGCAGTATTCTACTTAAAAATACTCTTTCATTACATTGCCTATCGCGAGTATATTTTCAACTGTAGAGGAAAAATATTGCATTTCCTAACAAATAACTTTATTATTTATTAAGTTATTGAGTTTAGAATAATTAGAATTAACGATTCATTTAGTTTACTAATGTAAGATGTAAGTTTTCGTTCGTATGTTACAAGTTGAAATATCCAATGAATGAAAAATAAGTATTATTTGCCTCCTCCTTTACGAAGCCAAATGGAAAGGAAAGTTATGACATGTCCATATAATTCTCTTGCTATGGGAATCGTAGTTCAATTAAATCATCATAGTAAAAATTATTCATTAATATTATATATCAGGTGGGCGAGATCAGCGATGTGAGTCGAAGGCTTGTTTACACCTCTCTGACAGGGATCACACATATCTATCTCAAGCTATAAGTAAAAGATTGGTGGATTAACAAACGCACTCCGTTTCTCACTCTATACGCATACATGCGCATGAGGATATACGTATACGAATTTATAGCCGAGTAAACCCACATTTGCCAATCCATTGTGTAATCGGTTCTTTGGCTTCCACCAAACATTTCTCTCTCCTCCTCTCATGCCTTTCCTCTTGCGCGCGCACGCATACACAAAGCAGATTGAAACACAGAGAGAGAGAGAGAGAGAAAGAGAGAGAGAGAGAGGGGGGGCATGGATACAGCGGCATATACAAACTATTTCGCGCCTTTAAGAACCCAAGGTGTCTTATTTTAACCCCATGTATTTTTAGAGCCCTCGTGCTCACTCATAATTACAGAATTTCCAATTTTAACGACCCAGCCGAAAGCGGGTGTGGCCCTTTCCGAAGTCCATACCGTCTATCGTTTAACGTCTATCTTTCTTTTTCCCAGGCATTGGGCAATCGCCAGACATCAACCCCACACCCACCCACACACATACAAATGTTCTTTCTTTTTTTTTTTATGCAGCGACGACAGCATGCGCGAGAAAACGACGTTCCTTACTCCCCGTCAAGCAATTGCAAAAGCCGTAAGAGAACGTGGCGCTGAATCGCGCCTCGTCGAATGCAGTTGCGGCAGTTGTATTTTAAAGAAATATTGCGAAATATCGCGTGGTGTCGTTGGCTTTCGTAGCCGAATAACCATTTTTAGACGTGCCTTAGAAAGACGGACAGCCTCAACCGAACGAAACTTTTGATCGTCCTTCTATCAATATTTCGAGGAGATTCTACAGTAATATGTTTAAACGCTTTTGAATATTATCATTATCATCATCATCATCATCACCACCATCATCATTATCATCACCATCACCGCCATCATTATTATAAAAATCAACGTTCGCAACAACAGTAGTAGCAGTAGCAGTAGCAGAGTAGCAGCAGCAACAGCAGTAGTAGTTTAGTAGTAGTAGTAGTATTAATAGTAGTAGTAGCAGAAGCAATAGTAGTAAGAACAGTAATAACAGTAATCAGTATTAACTTAATTATTAGTAGTAGTAATATTATTATTATTATTATTATTATTATTATTATTAGTAGTAGTAGTAGTATTTGTATTAGTTGTAGTAGTAGTAATACTACTAGTAATAAAGGTAGTTGGAATAGAAGCAATAATAGTAGTAATTGTTAATATTTTGTATAACATTTTTGTATTACATACTTTGTATATAATAAAATGTTAATAAATTAATATTGAGAGTATTTATAGTATTGAATAATGCGGCAATAACAATAACGATAGTAATAACAATAGCAACAGTAACAGCAAAGGCAACGGCAACCAAGGCAACCCTGCTGCACTAGTAGCAACGGCGGCAATATTCAATGTTAGTTGGCTTTTCAGTTGAGCGCGCGACGACGATCTACGTGGAGGGCATGATGTCACTCTCATATGTGTGTATGTAGCGAGCGTATGTATCATGGCACGCAAGGCATAGATTATTCGGTAAAAGATAAACAGGCACTGCGTCTTTTAACATTGCGCCGAGAATAAGAGACACTACTGGCGAATGGACGAGCAGCTACGGAAATTATGCATGTCGTTAGAGGGTCTAGTACCAAACCGATAAGGGACAATGTGAAGCGATTGGCAATTGAGTTAAAAAACCAGCCTCCCCCCCTCCATTCGCCGTTGCGCGTAACCCCCCGTCCCGCCCCGCGTCCACCGGCCGTCTTCATCGAGCCGTCTGTCTGCTGACGGCTGGACTGGCGTAAACAGAAGTTTATACAACACTGTGCATCAGCATCCGTGGAGGCGCGCACAAGGTCACGAGGAGCTTTATCCTCTTCGTTTGTTAGATCTGAATTTTGGTTAATTGCAATTACCTGTTGTGCAACAGGATCGAGGATGCTCTCGATGGTTTTCGTATGAAAGACCGGCATTTTTCCAAATCAGCGGTGCAAATCCTGTCTGCTCAAGAAGTGGGCTGAACGAGCGAGCGAGCGAGCACTATCGAGCGATCCGACGCCAAATTGTGCACTAATAAATGAACAAACAAATCAAATATTTAGCTAAAAACGGATAACGAAGCTAAAAAATCAGCGAGCGACGGGCGCGCGTTTAAAGTGACGACGGCGGCGACGACGACGACGACGACGACGACGACGAAGACGACGACGACGACGACGACGGTGACTACTCTTTAACCAAACGTCCAGAACGCTCGACAAACGAAAATCAACTGCTCCCAGACCTTGTATATTACTGTATATTGTGTCTCGGCGCGGCCATGTGTGGGTCTCGCACTCGGCGGTCGGCACGTGCACGTATGTATATATAATCGAACCGGTGTGGGTGCTGCGAGCGTACACACTGTATAGGCATACCGTGGGCCGAGTGTCGTCGAGCCTCGTCGGCGAGATCGAGGAGTAGCGGAGCGCCGAGGCGTGTACCGGAGAGACGATCGTAGCGACAAGGTGGACGCGAGCCGAATCAGGAAACTTTTCTCGTTGCACTCTGTAATCTGCTTGGAAGAAAGTGTTTGGCTTTCCTTACTTATCAGCGCCGTATTCTAATGCAGCGTCTCTACAT